AAGGGAAGAAAGGGTTGAAGGAAGAAAGAAAGGAGGAAGGGAAAGAGGGAGGGAGGAAGGAAAGAAAGAAAAGTAGAGGAGAAGAAAGGGATGAAGAGAAAGATGAAGAGGGAAGAAAGGAAAAGGGAAGAAAGGGTTGAAGGAAGAAAGAAAGGAGGAAGGGAAAGGGGAGGGAGGAAATGTGAAGGGGAGGAGAAGGGAAGAAAGGGATGAAGAGAGGAAGAGGGAAGGAAGGAGGGAAAGGGAAGGGAGGGGATGAAGGAAGAAAGAAAGGAGGAAGGGAAAGAGAGAGGGAGGAAGGAAAGAAAGAAAAGTAGAGGAGAAGAAAGGGATGAAGAGAAAGATGAAGAGGGAAGAAAGGAAAAGGGAAGAAAGGGTTGAAGGAAGAAAGAAAGGAGGAAGGGAAAGGGGAGGGAGGAAATGTGAAGGGGAGGAGAAGGGAAGAAAGGGATGAAGAGAGAGACAAAGAGGTAGAAGGAAGGAAGGAAGGGGAAGGGAAGGGAAGGGAAGGGAGAAAGAGAAAAAGCTCCAGTCTTCCATGCAGCCAAAACAGAAGTGGAGAATAGGTGCTGATCCCAGACCTCAGGGACTGGAAGACAGCAGTTCCACATCAAATCTGCTGGACCAATGGTAGCAGGAGAAGACCACCATTCTCAAGGGCGTCCCCCAGAGCCACCTCCTCCATGCACCATGGATTGTCCACATGGGGGGTCTTTTCCTTTTCCTCCATTTGTCAGTTCGGTGAAGCAAGAGACACCCCCGTGCTCCTGTTTTGCCCAGTGTCATTTGGTAGGCATTTGTTAAAGCCATAGTGAATGTATTCCTCCCCTGCCAATTCCAAATGTTTCATGTTTCATCATGTTTCCTTTTAAAAGGCTCAAGATGCCCTCCAAATGTCTAAGTTTGAACATGTCTATGGAGGCATCTATGTGGTTGTCTTGGCAACTATCCTGCAGTTGCCACCAACTGAGGCTGCACCCTCCAGATGTGCTGGACTAGGACAACAGATTATGGAAGCTGTAGTCCAGTAGACCTGAAGGGCACGGAGCTGGAAAATACTGTTGTTGAAGAAGTGATTCCAGATGAAAACCTCCTTCTGTATATAGGCACAGGTCAACAAATGGGAAGGGATCTGGCATCTCTCCAGAATATTTCCTTTATAGAAATAGCCTACAGAGCAGTGTTTCTCAACCTTGGCCACTTGAAGATGTGTGGACTTCAACTCCCAGAATTC